GGAGAGGGTGTCAGGGGGTTAACTGGCGGAGGGGCGTCCGGTGTACAGCTAGCAGTGCCCAGCGTCTGAGCTGGACGTGAGCGTGACTTTAAAGAAGCGAAAGAGGCCAGCAGTGATGGGACTCAGGGAATGAGGAAGGAGGTGGGGGTTGCAGGAAGTGGCCCAGGCATGGGGGGCAGGGTCAGATCCATCAGGTAAAGACGTGAGGTCCCCTCCGAAAAGAAGTGGGCAGTCGCTGGATAACTACTTGGAGGGGACAGGAACGAGGGAGGAAGTTGGAAGGTGACATCATGAGCTTTCTGAGGGGAACAGTCAGGCAGGTGAGGGCAGAACGGATCCTGGAGAGACTGAGGAGAAGCCGGGAGCTGACTTCGAGGCCCGGGAAAGAGAAGACGATGTTTGGGTGAGAGCGGTAACGGTGGCGGTGAAGATAATTCTGTTGCATAAACGGCGCCCAATTGCAAAACGTCAGGGACCAAAACCAGAGATGGGGACGTTATTATTGCCACTTCGGGCAAACGCATCGAGGGGTCTGGCCTGAAATGCTGACGGCTGCCCGTCTCTAAGGCAGCGGTTCTCAACCTGTGGGTCGCGACCCCTTTGGGGGTCGAAAGACCCTTTCACAGGGGTCGCCTAAGACCATCGGAAAACACATATATAATTACATATTGTTTTTGTGATTAATCACTATGCTTTAATTATGTTCAATTTGTCACAATGAAATTGGGGGTCACCACCACATGAGGAACGTATTAAAGGGTCGCGGCATTAGGAAGGTTGAGAACCACTGCTAAGGCACAATGAATCCCCGCGCTCAGCACCCAGACCAGACCCACCTGTGTTCCAAAGGCCCAGGGCGCAGGCGAGGCCCACGCACAGCCTCCCCCGGGCTCCGCGCACCAGGAAGCCCGGCATGCTGGCGGCGTCCGGACCACCTGGGAACGAGCAAGCATCGGTCAGACCATCCTGAGAACACCGCCTGGGCGTCATGAGAAACACATGCTGAGGAGGCTCAGTATAGTTAGGAGAGGGGAGGCTATGCTAGGGAACAAATTAGCTCCACAGTCTCCCTGGTTGGATTCAACAGCAAAAGTCGATTTCCTGTTTGTAACCCACAGTTGCTGCACGTGGGCAGAAACTCCGCTCCACACCGTCTCTCAGGCACCCTGGCTGGTGGAGGCTCCGTGGTCTTATAATTCTCCATCTGGGCCTTGTGGCCGCCTTAGCCATTGATTTATTGCGCAGTGGAAAGGAGGGAGCCAGAAGACTGTGTACCACAGTGATGGCGAACCTTTTGAGCTCGGCGTGTCAGCACTTTGAAAAACCCTAACTTAACTCTGGTGCTGTGTCACATATAGAAATTTTTTGATATTTGCAACCATAGTAAAACAAAGACTTAAATTTTTGATACTTATTGTATATATTTAAATGCCATTTAACAACGAAAAATCAACCCAAAAACTGACACGTGTGTCATAGGTTCGCCATCACTGGTGTACCATCTCTCTCTTTTTTAAAGAATACATTTTTATTGATTTCAGAGAGGAAGGGAGAGGGAGAGAGAGATAGAAACATCAATGATGAGAGAGAATCATTGCTTGGCTGCCTCCTGCATGCCCCCAACTGGGGATCGAACCCACAACCCGGGCATGTGCCCTTGACTGGAATCAAACCTGGGACCCTTCAGTCCGCAGGCCGACGCTCTATCCACTGAGCCACACCGACCGGGCCTGTGTACCAACTCTTAAATGCTCTGGCGGGCAGGGACACACTTTTATTTACAGCCCACGCCAGAATCACTCACGCGGCCCTGCCTACCCGAAGGAGATCTGGGAATAGGAGGGGGGTGTGCACACCTATTCAGGGAGAACCAGTGTCTAGTCCATGGCTTTTCTGGCTGTTTAGATGGGAACTACCTCCACATGCAGCATCCTAGCTGCTTAGGAAACATTTAACACACGAGTGTGTGTGAGTGCTCAGACTTGCTTGCCTTTGTGTCCCAGCGGTCCCCCTGGGACTTGCTGTGCAGAATCTGCGTGACAGTGGAGGCTGCAGAGCTGAGACTAATGAGAATAATGGTGACAATTTACTGAGTGCTGTCTGGGTGCCAGACACCACACGAAATGCCGTCTGACGCATATCATCACTTAACAACCACAGAACCTCTGTGTGTCAGTATTCGCGTACTTCCCATTTAGCATCCAGCCTGCGCAGGCGTGATGTGAAAAGAGCAGGCATTTGCCGTTGGTGGAGAATGAAATAAGATCTGGAAGGCGAATCGGGGAGGGGAGGAAAGTCAAGAGGAAGTGGGGTTGAGGAAAGCGACTTAGGAATTGAGCCTCTTCGTGGCAAATTAAGAACATCTTTTAAGAAGTTCTGTGGTCCATCTGGCTGGACCCACCTTTGGAATTTTGTTGAGAGATCCTCATAAACATTTAAATGGCTTTTTAATTATTGGTAGGTAGGGACTGGTGTCTCGTCTGGATGCCACGCTGGACAAGAGCTTCGAATGTTTTTGTGCTGTAACCCTGTCTTTTGCCAGTTGAATTTGCAGGACCCCGTCCCCGAACCAAAGAGTGTGGAGGAAACTCCCCAACGGTATAATTGACAGCCTGCACTTTTAGGCATCATCTCTTATCTTCTTCTCCCCTCCCTGCCCCCCACTCGTCTCTGTTATTTTACCTTTTCAATCATCCTCCGAGAGAGACCTGACATTCCGATGACATCAGAGAAGAACCCACAGACCAGAGGTGGAGCCCGTGGTTCCAGGGCTCGTAAGTGGGACAACTGGGATTTGAACTGAGGCCCCTCAGATGCTAAAGGCTGTGTCCTTTTCCACCACCTTTCACTCTATTCCCCCGCCCATCGAAACGCCCTCTTGGATGGCCAGGAATGGGCCTGACGTTGAGGACAAACAGGATTATTATTGCAAAGCCTTTGGGTGGCTGGACCGAGTTAGAAATTCAGTCACACGCCCCGAAAAGGGCTGCGGAGTGCTGTTGTGACCGAGGAGCCAAGAATCGGCCCAAAATTCTTATGAAATGAATTCACAGTATGTCCCTGGAGCCTCACATTGCGTGACTTCCCCTTCACTAGGGTCGCCATCGGCCACGGTGAGTTTAGCCGCCAAGGACCCCGCCCTCCTCACCGCACTGGGCAGCCGGGGGAAGGTGCCCCAGACAGAGAATCCTCGCGAGGCTCAGTGGAGCGGGGACTCGCACCGAAGTCCCATCTCATTTGGGCAGCTGCGGGGAGAGCGACATGCTCTCAGTACACGATCCTGGTCGGTTCATTCAGCCACCTGCAGCCTCAGTGTCAGCTCCCTCCTCCTGAGGGGGGACCCAGGGGATCCGGGGGGGGGGGGGGGGAGACCACTGGCCCAGGGTCCTTCCCCAGGGGAGGGGGACCCAGAATGCACACTCAGGCCTGGCCGAAAAAATTTAAGGCTGAGGTTCTTAGGCAGCATAAGAAGAAAAAAGGAAATCCCTTGCCAAGGGGATCCGGGACACTGAGGCAGGTGGCTGAACAGACTGGGCCGAGCGACTTACAGCCAGATACGGAAGGCCGCCTCCCTGGAGCTGACATCTAGGCCAGGGGGTCTCAACCTTGGCTGCACATTAGAAACACCTGGGAAACTTTTTAAAAACCTGATTTCTGGGGTTCATCCTCCGGAAATTCTGTTTCTTTGTGAAGGGGGGGGGGCCCCACCTTATTAACAAAGAACAGAATTTTTCAGAGGATGGTGGCCCAGAAAATCAGGATTTTATAAAAATTCCCCAGGTGATTTTAATGGGCAG